AGTTTAAAATTCCAGGAGAATCATGCAGTGGCTTACGATTTTATCATTTTTCAAACCTAACATACTAGTCAAGTGGGCGGCGGCACATAAATTAAATTAATTAACTGCACCTCTGGCGTTTTCCTCCTTTCTTCGAAAAATAAGAGACCCGATTAAAATAAATGTGCATTATTAAATGTGCCAAGTAATTACTGCCGAGGCAGTGGGCAAAGCGTCAAGGTGGCACCCACAATAAGTCAAAATTTCTGCGTCGCAATTGCATTATGAATAAAATACTCGACTCGAGATTTGTGGGTCACTCGAAAAACAACAAAGAATTATTATACATTGCACAGGACACAATTCACTTATTGACCTCTGGCGCAGATGACATTAAAAAGTCCAAGCAATACAAAAAATTAGCGGCCAGATTGATAAATGTTTTTATTATGAAAGGTACGACTATACGTTATTAAATCACTTTGTCAGCACCTGCATGCGAAAGTGAAAGTGGGCCCACAATAGCCACGCACTTTAATATCGGGCTCGTAAGGTTTATTGGCGCTCAATTCCAGTAGCACTCAAACCGCGCAGCTGGAATGCGACTTTTTACGTTCGCGATCTCATTACGAGCCACCGCACAGCATAAGCGCTTGCACTAAAAAATTAAATCACACCACGATGACGGGCAAGATCTAATCATTGTTTTCTCTCTCATCGCCCGCGGCCGTTTCGCTCTTCAAAATTGTTTCCGTCGCCCTATTTCGTCGCGAGGAAGAAAGGATTCGTCTCGAAATCTGCAATTTTTCTCTCTGAGCTAGGTGACTTTTTGCGCGCGCGCGCGAGAGAGAGAGAGTGAGAGCTTTGACAAAAATTGTTGCACGTGTGGAGTGAAATTTTTTAGGAGTGTCTGCAAGATATGACTTATTGGGTGTTTCATGATTTGTCGGACTGGTCAGACAGTTTTGCTTTTTATACATAATGTACAGACAGAGAATGCAATGCGGCAGTGAATTTCAAATGATAATTAAATAGACAAAATTTTAACAATAATAATATAAATTTATATTTATTTGAGCTTCAATTTTGAATGACATGGTCTTGTGATGAAAACAGTGGAAAAAGATCTTGTGAGCAAACATACATAATCAAAAGTCTAACCTAACCAGCCATATGCCGCCCTATTTTTATTGTATTTTATATTTTCCCAATAATGTGAATTATATTGTTTTAACAACGCGCAATTTAAATAATTTGGCAATTTCTGGAGTTCCAGGGGTCAATTTTCAATTTAGCCCACAAACGTATTTCCAAAAATACATAAAAATAGTCCCCAATTTTTAACTGAGAAATATTTGTTAACCTGACATGATCACCATGAATAAGAATGCCAAGTTTATTCAAAGTCAAAGTATTTATTCAATAATGACTTTGGCCATTTAAAACTTTTTGAACACTATGAACTTTTATCGTTCCATTTTTTTTAAATCTAAACAAGTCTAAGATCTGATCGCATCAAAAATATATTTTTTTTGCATTTCAAAATCTTCCTGTTCAACAAAAACAATAAATATTAGTTCTTATAGGTAGATCAGCTCTCTATTCTGTGCTTTTGCAGCTAGATTAAACGTCACATTAAACATTTATTCAGCTCGTGTGAGTTAGAGATATGACGATATACATTATGCAAATTAGCAACGAGTCATTTTATCTATCTCTGGCGCACACAAAAAATTTTCTCTTTTGCAGCCAGTCTGTTGACGGCCGCTATTGTGATGCACAAGCTAATAACGCATGTGATTCTCACTTGCAAATGAGACGACGAGTGTGTTGTTGATGTGCTGAATCATTTTGACGCGCCGGCGCTCTCTCAAACCTTTGGAATAATGAGTGATTGAGAGGGAAGCAGGAAAAGAAAGAGCTTCTAATTAATCAAAGCCGCTCTGATGACTTTTCACCGTGATTAATCGTTTCTCAAGCCTTTTCAACACAATATAAGTGCATAATTACAGATTCTTTGAGCAATAAAATTACATCCTGATCTTTACTTCTATTAACGAATAACATTTTTGCGGTCGAGAAGTGCAGCAGTGATTATTTTTATTTTAATTGCGTTCAAAATTCCAAATTTTCTTCACGGTCTGCGACCCTATTTGAATGACATTGTCTTGTGATGCAAATAGTGGAAAAAGATCTTTGTGAGCAAAAATACATAGTCAAAAGTCTAACCTAACCAGTAATATGCCGCCCTATTTTTATTGTATTTTATATTTTTCCAATAATGTGAATTACTTAAAATTTCTAGATCAAAATGACTTATTTACTGCAGAGTATTGTCTGCAAATCGTTATTTAGTGAATTGATATAATATGCTAAATAATTTTTTTTTTTTCAAAAATATTTGTTTCAGACTCTATCTACAAAATATTTACTTCTTGGAAATGAAATTGAATGTGCTTATTGGGAAATCAAATATCCATTTAAGCAGCCTGTTCAAAATACGCACTTTTATTTATTTGCTTGTGCACTAGTACTTGCACAGTGATAATTTGTTTTAGCAAAGTGTTAAGAATGGAAGCACAAGGAATTTTAGCGTGTCTTGGCCCTGAGAGAAAATTAACGCGAACCTGCAAAAATTTTCAAGTTGAAGGTTAAAATGACAAAATGTCTTTAGGCAAATTCTTTTTTTAATGCTTGTCCACTTGACATCCAATATGGATTGAGAACAATATAAGCTTAACTTTGGGTTTGAGAACATATCAAGAGCGTTGCTCAAGTGCAAATCTTGCGATCAGCGCCGAAACGCGAGCGATTTTTATTCTCGGAGTTTGGCTTGCTGGCGCAACTACAAGAGTCACTGGACCGGAAAAAATGGGCATAAAACAAACACACACAGACACACATGTCTGCAACAATAAAACGACTATGTAATCGCTGCACACGTTAATTAAATATTAACATAACTCATGTAATGGGCGGTATCTCGGATTAGCATAGTTTAATGTCGCTCTCAGTTTCCATACCGAAAATTGATAGCTGTGTGCTTTTGGGATAATCTCGCCACACGATCTACGGAGTTCATAAATGCTTAAAATGCTAACCAGGTTAGTCTTTTTTGTTGGGCAATTTATTTGAAAGCTTTATTTGATTATATCGATTGTATTAATTCAAATCTATGAAAAAAATTTGATTTTTAAGTTCTGATCATAATAAAAAATGGGAGCGCATAATATGGGCCGAAAGACATTGACCGAATGCATCTGATGGACATTGACCGAATCACCCAATGGGTATTTTAAAAAAGCCCACTAGGACATTGACCGAATGGACTTTGAACGAATAAAATTTCAGACGTGGGACTGCGTGGGACTTTGACCGAATGAATTAATGAACAAAATGATGCTTTATTATGAATCATCACCTACTTTATTTATTGATATCACTAGGTATTTTATCACTTATATTTTATAAGTTATCGTCATGATTCACCTAAGCTACACACAAGGTGGCCCATAAGTAACCCGTGGTTATTAAATGCTCGCCAATGTCACATTCGGCCAATGTCATTCGGTCCATATATGAGCTCCCAATTATTACATTGCAGTAAAATATTTGATGGATTTTTTTATTTTCTTCCTAAAAATTTTTACAACACTGATTCTTAATAAAAAATAAATAACAAATTCAAAAATATAAAAAAAAATCATTGACGGCTTTCTACTTAAATCTGTGGCGCAGAATCTTTTGTTATTTAGAATTTTGTAAACAAAATCTCAAAATAAGAAATTTTAAATTTCCAAAAATGTAATATTTGCAGCCACATTCTTTTAATCAGCATCTGATCAGAATGACGTGACAATTTCTCAAAAAGGATAAATTGTGTAATGTATTTTGGAGAATCAGAAAAATCAGTACGATTTTATTATATAAAGATTTTCGTTTGTCCTACATAGCATGTTTTCTCTATTTCTTTAAAACAAAAAACAAAAAAAAGCGTTACAACAAAACAAAATCTCATTTTTTGCCAATCAGCTTTTACTTTTATAATTTCTTATTCATGACGTTTTCCAAGTTATGTCCCGTCACTCCTCCACTCCTGAACATGTATGCAAATAAGCTTGAATTTGCATTATTCGTTCGCATATGTCCTAGGAGATAATAAAAAGTGTACATTCTGAATGCAAACACGGAAAGTGTTACGTGCTTCTGTATTAAGATTTTATAAGTGTGTCGACAAAATATTATAATAAAATAATGCCTCCAGCCACAATAGGAAGGTTTGTATCAGGAGAATATATGTACACTTCACGCTCATCCTCAAAATCTACTTCTACATTCAGTACTTCGCTTTGTAAAATTTTCTATATATCAAAAGAAACACGTTTATGACCTCATCTCATTACATTTTCAGAAAAAAAAATTAATTATATAAGGTTTCTAACAAAGTGTAAAAATAAAATTATGCGGTTCATTTTTCAAATTCCCGGTAAAAAAAAGAATTGTGTGAAATTGGTGCAAATATAAAAAGGAATCTGCGGTGTGTTTAATTTGAATGGATTCATATCTGCCTTACGCAAATTACTCCACCTTTCATAATATTCAAATTAGATCAAGAAGTTCTGCATTAATCCAGTTTTAAAAATAGACCCTAGAGCTTGAATGGAAAATAGGAATTGTAGCACACTTGTTCAAGGACGAGATGATGTTGGTGCAGCCTAGATGCTCAGCCATGGGTGATGCTGGTGCACGCATTTGTGAACAGCACGACTGCATTGTGAATCGCTTCCATAAATTTGGCGGCAAAAACTCTCACTCTCGAAGCTACCTCGAGAATCGACAGTGATGAAAACAAAACGCGAGACGGCCGACTCATCGCCACGGTTGTTACATAAACGAACAAAATCATAATAATTAAAAGTCATTAAAGCCTCTTTTTCTTCCTAACATGTAATTTTTTTCGCAGGGTTTGGCCGTGGACGGGTATTTGTTAATTTGTGATTGCGCCAAAATTCGGTACTCACTTTTTGCTGGCCGCGTCTCGTTTCTCTGATGCAATGTCGCTGCTGGGTCTGCGAACAAGGAGTGAATAATGAGAGACTTGCACACTGCGTTTCATGAATCGAGATCGTTAATGCGGGTCTGCGTGATGTTCCATATGATGAGGATATATTATTTATTTTTCAAACTTTGTCTCAATTAAAAAAGGCACACATACAAATAAATAGGCCACCCACATGTACAAAATTGTATAAATGGAAAGTTCATGGCCAGCGATGATGGTGTTGATGACAACATAATACATTGTATAATGAAGATGTGTTCGGAGAATCCAAATTTGGAGTGTGATGCTTGACGCTAAGGAATGCATCATTCATTTTATTAATTTTAATATTAAATTTTTTATTTTAACAAACATCATAGTTTATTTATTCCTGACGTTACATTTTATTTCAACATTGTCCTTTCCGTAAAAATAGTTAGACATATACATTTTGTTCTGAAAATTGAAACCGGGCAAAGAATGAAAAATATCAAAGAACAACTGACCCCACAAAAAGGCGACCTCCGGTCTGCTGGTACTTTAAAAACTTATTTTCTTAAAAAAAATTTTAGCAAAAAAAATATTATTATTTAATTTTCAAAATCAGAGAATTTTATTAGTTATGTGCCAGGCATAGAGACGAAATGCAATTTTATTGTAAATTTTTTCCAACAAAGGAATGTAAAAAATGTATTGTATCAATGTGTGCATTCAAACAACAATTATGATTAATGAAATTTTAGCCAATTTTCTTCCATTTTAGTGTCATACCTAAACAAATTTTTATATATCTAACCGTCAATTTACAATCGAATATTAGAAAAATGTTTAAAAATAAATAAATCACAATAGACTCTTTTGAAAAACTCATCTTGCTAATAAAAAATTGTTTTATTATTCTATTAATAAATCCCTTGGCGACAAAAGTGAGGGGTATTATGTAAGGCAAATTGACGCGCCTTGAACCGACGGCGGTGATTATTATTTATTGTGACGAGTCCCCGTTAATCCTGTCAACGTGAGAGATGGTCGCGCTTGCACCGTCTCGCTCCGGCGTGTGTGCATTGAAATGAAAGAAGCGCGCGTGCTGGCCGTGCTGGCCAACAATGGCATCATTAATCACAATCGGATATCATTTACGCTTTTTAAGCTCTTTGTGTGTGCTTTATTCTTCGTTCGCACTGCACGCAACCTTGAGTGCTCGCTCGCCACTCATTATGTAATAAAGAATCGCGTTTATTATCATTTTCAGCCGGCCGACTGACTGCGAGAACCAGCCAGACGTTCAGTCAGTGAGTGACCGAGTGAAATTAAGGACAGTCAAGTAATTAGAAATAAAAGTGCAAGAGCATTCAGAATTATGCTCGCTGTCGTCGTTCTAGCGGCAGTTGCATAACGACGTTTACAATTCAATTTGCACAAGAGAAGAATTCAGAATTCAGATCAATATGATAAAAAGCATATTTCTAAACTGCTTAGAATAATTTACAATTTTTCAACTTCAATTTTATATGCAAATTTATCATTATATATAAGTTTGATTTAAACCTTGCACAAGCATTGAACTAAAATCGTTTGAGTAGGTTGATAGAATGTTCTCAAATTATTTATATTTTAATTTTATTTTATTGCAGTGTAGATGTGCGCTTGCTTCTGTTCCAATGAATTGAGTAAGCACGCTTTGATTGCGACATTTTTGTTTGTGCATTTGTCACACAGCGGCAGCTTTTTCTGCATTTAGGACAAGGATGCACACGGAATATTCCATGAAACATGTACATAGCCCCGTCCACAACCGCTATCAAGCAGTTTTTCTTGGATTGACAGAGAAATTACCTAAATATCTCTATATCAAATAATAATAAACATTGAACATGCTAAACAGCATGTTAAATGGAAGGCTTGCGTTTTTTTCCACCAATAAATACAAAAAAAATCTATAAACGTTTATTATTAATTTTTAAACAACTTAAAATATAATAAAATTCAATTAGACCCCAAAAATATTTTTTTAAAAAAAGAAAGGAAGAAAGAAAGAATAAAATTCACCATCTAGGAATACACTTCATATTGGACTGCATAAGATTTTTATAATTATTTCTTGAATTGTTTGTATTCCACTTTAAAATTCGTCCTACTTTTTTTACTTCATTGCAAAATCCCTCACCGATTAATCAGCTTGAATTTCCATGTACTAAATCGAGCGCATAATTCTGTACCGCGTGGATTACATTATAATCAGCCGTAAAAGCAACAAAGGGGGTAATAAATATTATGCACGCATGCACTTTTGCGGTCATAAACCCGCATTAGCTCCATGCAAAAACGCACCGCATATATAGAGAAGCAAAATGCATCGCGGCGATAAATGCGAAACGGCGCGCTGTAATCCACCGTCCATTTATCGTGCCTAAGCGTGTGCAGCATCCGATTTTTATGGCTGTATTGAAGCAAAAATAAAAAATAAAAAAAACATGCCTATAGCTCACCTAGTGTAAGCTGATGCAACGAGCGGCAAATTAAAATGCATTGCGACAACCGGCAACAGCAGGACGGCTATAGCGGAGATCGACCGAGTTCTTTGCTTTATTTTACTCTATATTTGAAATGTACTCTTTATACAACATGAAATAATTGCACAACATAAAAAAAATCAACAAAAACGAGCTGGCCTTCAAGTTAATTTGTTTGGATAATCCACTGAAAGTATTATTTTTTTATAACTTTCTGAAGTTTTAAATTATTTTTGTTGTTTATTTGTCCAAATTGTTGCATCACATTGTTGCAAAGGTGAGAATCCCCACCGGCCGAGTGATGAGAAATAGTGGCGGCGAGCACCGTTTAATTCTCCTAAAAGTGCACACAGAGCTCAGGCGACAAAGTTTTTCTTTTTGAATTGCAATTCAGTGGAATTCCCTGCCAACTACGTTAAAAAATTGTACGGTTTCTCAGTTTAAAATTGCATGTAAAGAATATGTGACTGTTGTTTAAAATTTTTCCCTTTTCGGCTCCAGCTCGGCAAGTAGGTTTAATTTGGAATCACTTTTGCTTTCAAATTAAGCTTATGAGTTTTAGTAAATTGTTTACTAGGGCTGGCTGCCAATTCTCTCTTCGATGTAATTTTTTCCCCAAAATAATATTTAGCATTGTGAGAGAATAAACGAATTGAATTGTTTACATTCAATTGTAAAAAGCCATTTAATTATTATTATTATTTATTCTTCTCAGTAAATACAAAAATTTGATATTTGAAAAAGAGAAGAAAGGGTTTACAACTAGCAGATGTCTGCTAAAACGCCCGATATCAAAAGAGACTCGGCCACCGTGGTAAACCCCCAATTAAATCAACCTACTTATTACACGCTTAAAGATTTTATATTATAACTTTTGATTGCTTTTGAATTATTTATTTATTTATCTAATCTATTGATTATCCATACATGGTAAACAATATATTATTTTTGATCTTTATTGACTTGTGAGGCGTCACCACGATATAATAACTCATATCGACGCGCCTCATTTGCAACAAGTACAATACAAGAAAAGAAAAAAGAGCAAAAAAAACAACTAAATATTAAAATGTATCAATTAATTAAAAAACTTCTTTGCTGTAAAAGAACACTTCGCTCAAAAATCGGCATCATGCATTAACAAAAAAAGTATTATTTGTACAAAAAACATGCCAAAAATTCAAGTTTTTGTTTTAATTTTATTTTATAATGAATTTCACTTGCTTTAAATTTCCCCGCAAGTAAGCAATAAAAGTTAATTTTTTTGCGATTGTTGAATTCAAAATTTATAAATTATATTTCACCACAAAGTTTGTGCACAAATTATGCAATGAGCTTTAGTGGGCGTAGGAAGTATTTAATTGGTAGTTGTATTCCATGTGCAATGTGCGTGCTACGTCTAAAACTCGTCAATAAGCTTTAAGAGTTGCTTAGATAGGCCCAATATTAAGAAGAGAGAGGGAAGAGGAATACCAAAATTATATCCAATAAGATATATCATCTGTGCCGAACGTTTAGTGATTAAAAAAATACAAATAAACTCAAAAAATCCAATAATTACTACTACAAAATTGGTTGGTGCCTTCTGCACTACTAATAATTTTTCCAGAACATTTCATCTTTAAAAGAATATATTAATATAATCTCAAAAATTGAATTCATGGAACAGTTTATAACAACCAGGCGGTGCAAATTGCTTTTGTTTTATGTTTAAAATTACCATAGTTGGTAGGAAGTGAAAAAAAAATGACTGATTTAGTGATTTATTTTTAAACTTTTTATATCACTGTTTTATATGAATGAGAGCTATTTCGTTTTTCATTATACATACATGGTATGCTTTCTACAATTACTCTTAAATGAGGAAACGTATCTAGGTAACTCCTCCACTCCATTATCTAACGTGAAAAAAAACGCCGCGTATGGTGTAGGTTCGTGACGAACTCGCAACCTCTGCACTTTACGGTATTTCACGTGAAGCAAGGAAAAGCCGTTCATTTGTATGAAATATTAATAAATTATTCGATACATGTTCAAGTGGAATGAGGAATTAAATTACTTGGCTACAAGCACAATTCAGTGATGCATAATTCCAATCATTATCGTTCAAAAGACACAAAATATTAACAATAATTATTATTATATATAATTAATTTGCAAAATTTCTAGACCTATGGATGACTTTTGGGGAATTAAATTTTTAAATTTGGATTTTACACCATGGGTTTTTTATGTTTATTCATTTGAAAAACTGAAAAAATTATTTTACTTAAATAGTTAACAAACTTTATATGATCCTGATTGCCAATTATTTTGACTGGAGAGAAAAATTGCAAATCAACGTTGGATAAAACATTGTAACCCAATCTCACAGTGATAATCAAATGAGAAAATAATAGCAGGGTAAGTCTGATGTTTTGCATGCATCTCGATAAGCTGTGCACGTTGTTGTAATTGCAGACTTATCCTCTCATAATGAGAAATTCATAAGCCAGACAACAATAATACGCAGTTC